TGGGGTGGGGGTGGGGGGTTGCTTGGACGCTTCCTGTCGCTGCTTCATTTCCTGTGGATGACCCAACAACTACATGCTTCAACAGCCAACCCCTTGTGCAAAGGATCTGCTGTGTGGAGGGGTCATCAGGGTCAGTGGAGTCTGGGGCTCAGAGTCCATTGGTGTCGATGGCTGTCACAGAGGCAGGTGTTGAGGAACGTGAGGTGGTGGCTGAGGTCTTGTCCAGGGCTGGGCTGGGCACACTGCAGTCAGTGGACCTGGCTGAGGAGCCCCTCCCTCCAGGCAGCAGCGGTCGGCTCTGGCTGTGAGGACTCTGACCATGAAGGCTCTGGCCACAGAGGCGGTGGTGCCGCTCCCAGTCCTTGTGTTGGCAGAAAGAGCCGCAGTACCGTGCAATATTGCAGCCACTGCATGTCTCACTGGCTTTGCGGCCACAGTTCCAGCAATTCTACAAGACAGAGGTATAGATTAGTGGTTGCTAGGAACAAGCTTTAGACTCATTTGTCAGTCTTGGAGCTACCTACCTGTGGCTGAAATCTGCTTTTCCTGCTGTTTAACCACAGGACAACCCCCAACCCCTGCCCCAGTGCCCTTTACCTGTACAACCGGAAAACTACCTACTCACGGGGCAGTGAGACAAGGGCATATGTGAAGACGCCTTGTCCAGCACCAGCCTCGGTAGGGTGGTCCTCATCTCCTGTATAAGGCACAGATTCATTCTTTTGGGGTTATTTTATTTTTAAAAATTTGGGGGCCAGGAGTTTAGCTCAGTGGTTCCACTGCCTGCCTCGCAAGCGCAAGGATCCCTTCACCAGGGACAGAACTCAGGGCTTTACGCTTGTGAGGCAGGCAGCGGCACCACTGAGCTAAATCGCAGCTCTTATCTTAATCCTCAGAGACCAAACCAAACTCTTTCTCGGGGTCCCTTTACCACAGATATCATCCTAAGACCACATATCCATTCATATGAATGTTTTCTCTTGTTCCTCTCATTAAAGGAACAGTTATTACTGTTTTTATTGATAATATCTGATCTTTTTGTTTTCGTATTGGGGATTGAACTCAGGACCTTACACTTGTGAGGCACGTGGTGGCACCACTGAGCTAAATCCTGGCTAATATTTGATTTTTTTTTTTGGTACCAGGGATCCAACTCAGGTCCTTGTGCTTGTGAGGCAGGCAGCGGAACCACTGAGCTAAATCCCTGGCCCAATATTTGATCTTTTAACAAAGAGTTTAAAAGGAATATAGGCAAAGCTACTTTTCCAAAAAGTCATCTGCCAAGGAAGCAGGATGGGTAAGAGAACGGAATTAGATGTGCTCCTTCATTTGTCCAAGGTGCCTGTTTCTTTTGCTGACCTGACTTTTCATAGATGGGGTGGTATTAGGGGAAAAATGTAGGCCTGTTCCCTGGGCTACTGCACACTCAGGGCCCTAAAAGTCTAGCTCAGGGAGTTTTCTCACTACTTGTACTTTCTCAGAATACAGTAGGTTCCCCTAGGGCCCAGGAGAAACCACTTGAGAATGTCTGAATTCTATTATAGAAGGTAGGAGCCAAGTGAGGCTTGGTGAGAGCTGGAAATAGCAGCCACAAAAGCAACAGGAGAAACAGTCAGTGAACAATAACACGATGTCTCCCCAAGTCAACTAAGAGGAACGAGTGCAGAGAATAAAAGTGACCACAGTGCAGCAGCCACAATGGGCTCCAAGATGATTCCGCCACTGACATGTAAGTCTATACCCAAGAGCTCCAGGACCCAATGCGTAGAAAAAGCTTTACAGCACTGGCCAGGTACAGCTATTGGGAAGGATCTGGCAGCCAGTTTTCTTATGCACAAGGATGCTACAATGGCAGAAGCCAATCAGAGGCCTGGCTGTGGCACTGCACAATAAAGAAAGACCTCTGCCAGCTCTGCGAACACAATGAGAAAGAACAGGACTTTGGGACTGCCTGGGCCACCTCTTGCTTTGTACAGATGGGAAAACTGAGAGCCAGATGTGGTAAGGTTATGAAATGATCAAGGGACTGTGCAAAGTCTGGGACCCGAAACTCCTTATGCTGCAATATTCTGTGTACAAGTGTGATCTCAAAGCACATTCAGACAACTTCAGATTCCCTTCTAACACAGGCTTCCCAGGAAACACGCTGTAGGGACCATCAAAACTTGCTAACACCAACACCAGATGTCCAAATTGGGGGAGTTGTAATTCATAGGCTATGTTTACAGTCTTCCAGAGAATTCCTTTCTGTCTAGTCCAGTAAGTTGCTTCCCAACAGTACTTTGGAAGAAGTGCTTTGTCACTTATGAGACTCACCTCCCTTAGTCAGTCAGCAATGATATCTGAGAACTGGAACCACAGCTGGACATACTAGTACACACCACTTGTAATCCCATCACTTAGGGAAGCCGAGGCAGGAAGATGGTAAGTTAAAGCCCTGCCTGGGCAACTCAGTGAGACCTTATGACAAATTTAAAAAGTGTGTTGTGGGGTGGTGGAACACATAGGTGTGGCAAAACAAACAAACAAACAAACACACAAAACCACACAACTGGATCAAAGTATTAAACTTCTGGTACTTTCTTTTTTTTTGGTACTGGGGATCGAACTCAGGTTGTTGCGCTTGTGAGGCAGTCACCAGAACCACTGAGTGAAATCCCCTGCCCAACCTCTGGTACTTTCATTTTGGCTGGCTGCCATTATTTTTTAAATGGCTCATTTCAATGTTTGTATAAATACAGTAAAACAAAGTAAACAACCAGAGGCAGGCTCATAGGAATGCAAGAATAGTGTGGTATCAGAGAAGCCAAGGGTGAAAAGGTCAGTTTCATGTTCTCCTCCTCTTAGCTTTCCCGTGACTTAATCCAGACAGATGTTTTTGGGGGGTACTGGGGATCAAACTCAGGACCTAGTGCTTGCAAGACAGAGGCAGGCTAAATACCCAGCCCAAGAGATAAAAAAAAAAAAAAAACAATTTATTTGAAGGTGGGAAAAGAAGTGGGGGTAACAGATGGCAGATAGGCACTCTGGACAAGTAGGGCAATTGCTCCAGGAGAAATTTTTTTGTTAAGATATAAGACAAAGCTGGGTGTAGCAGCTGGCCACTACAGTTTCAGATACCCAGGAGGCTGGGATTGCTTGAGTCCAGACTTCAAAGCTAGCCTGGACAACATAGTGAGAGCCTTCTTTAAAAAGAAAAAATACATATAACAAAGTATAAGACAGCCGGGCGTGGTGGCGCACACCTGTAATTCCAGCACTTGGGAGGCTGAGGCAGGAGGATCGCTGTGAGTTCGAGACCACCTTGGGCTACATAGTGAGTTCCAGGTCAGTCTCAACTACATAGTGAGACCCTGTCTCAAAAAACAAAACAAAACAACAACAACAAAAAACAACAAAAGTATAAGACAAAAAGTTGACTGTTGTACTCTTCAAATCAACCTTCAAAGATGAAACAATAAACAGTCTTGACCAAAAGACTGGTTCTATAAACTTTAACTGTGGTAACAGAAGTCAGAAATATGATTTCAATGACAAATGTGGTGGTACACAACTGTAATCCCAGCACTCAGCAGGCTGAGGCAAGAGGATGGCCATGAAGAGGCCAGCCTGGGATACATAGTGAAATCAAGGTTAACCTGAACTACACAGTGATACACTGTCTCAAGAAACCAAAAATAAAATAAATAAAATAAAACTTCCTTTGTCAAGCAGGAAGTATCAATTATGTCAGGATTACTCCAAGTGTGGCCCAGGACCCACCTACAGTATATCAGAACTACTAGGGCTTAACTGGTTATGGTAGTGCCTGCCTGTAATGCCAGCACTTGGAAGAGTGAGGCAGGAGGATCACTATGAGTACAAGGCCAGCTTGAGCTATATAGAGTTCAAGATCAGCCTAAACTACATAGTGAGAATATGTATCAAAAAACAAACCCCCAAACTATAAAGATTTGTCAAAACTCTTGGGATCAAATGTAATCATTATGTACTATAAACACATACTAAAAAAAAATGTTTTGGGGGAGCCAGGCAGGATGGTGCAATGCCTCAGGAAGCTGAGGCAGAAGTATTGCTGTGAGCCTGAGCTACACACTGAGTTCCAGAGCAGTGTGAACTACACAGTGAGAACCTGTCTCAGAAAACAAAACAAAACAAAAAAACCCATAAAAAAATCCTTGGGACTTATCTCAGGCCTCCCTGACCTCACTGCAATTTTGGGCCAGAGAAGAAAGAACTCCCATTTTATGGTTGGTTGCTAACCCATTATGTTTGCCAGGAAAGCCAAGGAGGAGACAAAATAAGCCCCACAGCAGAGGCAAGGAGACCTCTTACGTGTTCCTCTACCTCCAGGCACTATAGGGGAAGAAGCTTGGGTCGGGGCCTGTGCTATGAGGAGCTGCCACAGGTTATACACTAACTGCACAGAGCACAACTCCTATAGCATGACCTTGTTTTACTTTTCTAAAAACTACCAAGCCAAGGACATGGGCTGTGACCTGAATGGTACAGAGAAGGAAGCTGGCTCCTTGAGGGTACACTGCAATTGTGAGGGGAGGCTTGGACTACATGTCAGGCTTTCCAACCTCTAGTTGTAGGCTCTTTCCCCCGTAAGTAGAAAACTTCTCACAAGATGAAGGAGAAACTCTAGGGACATATGTTAAACATCAAGGAGAATTTTCTGGATGAAATGGAGAAGAATCACCCCGTCTGGTCCAACACAAACTCAGTGAAAGCTTAGCCCCTCCATCCTTGCCCTATTTTGGAAAGCCAACTTGCTGGGATAGATGCTGGCAAACACCTCACCTGCAGGCCACTTTGTGAAGTGTTTATAATTAACTGTTAACTGTAAATAATGTATATAATATACAGTTAACCGTTTATAATTACAGTTTCTTAAAGCAAATGGAGAGCTGGGACCTAAGCCTACACAGACCAGATCCAGAACTCATCCTCTTAGCCAAGGCCATATTCCTTCTTTGGAGACTGACACAGTTAAACACCACAGGGCTGGGGATAGCCTAATAGTACAATACTTGTCTGGAATCCCTATGCTGTTCATTCTTCAGAAACAAACAAACTCACACACACACACACACACACACACACACACATGATAAGCACAGACATAAAATTAGATAAACAGGCAAATGTAGGTATTGATACAAATAGCTGTAATACAGAAACAGAATATATATCTAGGCTCAAAAGTAATTCTGAAGCTGCGCACGTAGGAGGATCCCAAGCTCAAATCCAGCCTGGGCAACTTAAGAGTGAGTGAGAGACACTACTACACACACACACAAAAAAAAAACAATAAAAAAGTTAAAGGGATGAGTGAGAATGCAGCTCAGTGTGAAGGCCCTGGGTTCAATCCCCAGTACCTACAAAAGGCCCCCAATTCTACAGGAAAAGTTGGGAAAAAGAAAAAGGAGAGGATTGAAGGAACTGTATTTCTACATTCACAATACCTTCCTTGAGGGCCAGGGATTTAGCTCATGGGCACCATGCCTGCCTCACAAGAACAAGTTTCTGAGTTTGATCCCTTGTACAAAAAAAAAAAAAAAAAAAAAAAAAAAAAAAAAAAAAAAAAAAAAAAAAAAAAAAAAAAAAAAAGAAAGAAAGAAAGAAAGAAAGAAAGAAAGAAAGAAAGAAAAGAAACAGAAAAAGACCATAGTAATTTCCTTAGAATGTCAACATAATGCATGTCCACAGATCCTCTGTGATAGCACAGGACATATAAGCCATTTTTATCTTGACATAACCATGTTTGGTACCGTTACACTGAAATGGATCATTTAAATATGATAATTTATTCCTTCATTTATTTAGAGACAGAGTCTCACTATGTAGTTCAGGCTGGTCTTGAACTCATTATATAGCCCAGTCTGGCCTCAAAACTCAGTGATCCTCCTGCTTCAGCCTCCCAGGTGCTGGGATTACAGGTGTGTGCCACCATGTTCAGCATTCTGTTGTTTATTTAAAAATCAAAAACCAGCTGGTTTCAGTGGCACATGCTTGTAATCCCAGCACTCTGGGAGGATGAGGCAAGAAGGCTACAAATTTGAGCCCAATCCGGGCAACTCAGAGTGACCTTGTCTCAAAACTAAAATAACAAATAAAGAAATACCCCTAAACCAAAAGTCAAACCCCCAAACTCCATATATGTATGCAGATATATACATGTGTACATGTACATACGTGTATGTATGTACAGATGACAGTAATTTATCAGATTTGTGTGTAGAGACCCAAAGTGAAAACTATAGCTTCTGATCCAACACTGAGGTAAGCAGTGGCTGTGCTCCCTCAGCTGGCAGCCTCAACCCCAGGGCCTAACAGAGCTCTGACCTCAGTGGACTCCTCTTGCTCATTGATGACGAGGAAGGCATCCTCTGCAGCCTGTCGTTTGACATCTGCTATGGTTTGCTCCATTCGAGCTCTCTCTGTTGCAATCACTTCGAAAGCTTTTTGCTCAGCCTCAGCAACAGCCTTCTGTACTTCGGACATAGCCTGAATTTTCACCTTATTCACAGCTTCTTCTAGAAGAAAGTGACAGTAAAATCAACTGGCCGAGAAATCTTTTCCCTCACACCCTGCAGCACTTCTAAGAATGGAGAGAGTGGAAATAAGACATGCATGTGTGAACACATGGAATATGCATGAACACTTATTCTCACAGTTGTGCTGTTCGTTCGAGCAGTTGTGTTAGGCATGAGACTGAGGCGGGCACTGTGCTAGGGTTGGGGATACATAGGTAATTACACATTATCCATCCTCTCCTGTTTGTGATCAAATTGTAACAGTGGCTTCGGTGCCATCGCACATGACACTAAAATAGATGAGAGTTCCACTCTAGCAATAAAAAGATGCTAGAGTTCCACAGAAAAAAAGAGGTCAATTCTACAATGGTAGGGAAAGATCAAGGAAATATGTTTTGGTGGAGATGGTAGGTGGAAATGAAATTTTTTTGGTAAGTCCTGCATAACCTATTTGGCCCAAAAGGCTAAAGAAAATGTGAATCCTCTAAAGCTGTGGTAGTGAAAATACCATATGCATGCCAAGGTGGACTGTTTGTAGTATTTTTTTTTTTTTTTGGTACCGGGGATTGAACTTGGGTCCTTGCGCTTGCAAGGCAGGCCACCGAACCGCTGAGCTGAATCCCCGGCCCCTGCTTGTAGTATTGAATGCCCTAAAAGGTTGGTCATGTCTGCCCTAAAGGATTCTATGCAAGAAGAAAGAGTAACTAGAAGTTGGAGCAGTGACTCAGCTGATTCTGAATCTACAGAGAAGCAAGTGGCACCCAAGAGGGGAAGAATCAGAAGAGAGGTGGTCTGAAGGGTCTGGATGTGAAGGTAAAGAATGGTAGTGCTGGGCAATGAATGGCAATATGCAGAAAGCTGGTGTGGAGCCAAGTGAGACGGATGAGAGGGAGCACAGCAGAGAAATTTGGGCTGAAGACACCTACTTCAGCAGGCTGCCAGGAACCCTGGGCTTCCAAATTCTGGCCCGCCATCTTCACTCTGGTTGGTTTCTGATCACTTCCTTCACATCCCATCATGTTGCTCAGTTTCCACTGAGTCATTGACCATTGGAGTCAATGACTTGCTCTATGCCTTCAGTCTCAGCCCAGGGAAAATGTGAACCACCCCGCACAAGTCCACAACAGGCCATAACCCAGATGCCTAAGGAACTGCCTTACAGCTTGGCTCTTGCATGTAACTCAGACTCAAAAGGAAGTTGAAACAATGTTCTAGGCTACTGTGTTAGAACTTTCTATTTTACTGCAACAGTCTTAAGAAAGAGCAGCCTGAACTACATAGTGAGATCCTGTCTCAAGAAACAAAACAACAACAAAAAGACTTTAGGGACCTGGGGATGGTGGATACACTTGTAATCCCACACTAAGGAAGCTGAGGCATGAATGAAGATTTTGAGTTCAAGGCCAGCCTGGGCTATTATAATGTTAGTTCATGGCTAGTCTGGACTATGTAGTCTGTCTCAAAAAACAAAAACAAAATAAACAAACAAAAAATCTTTGGGAAAAGGCCCGTATTTGGATAAGGGTAACATTAATGATTCGAGGCTAGTTTTATCCCTTATCTTATTGGAGCTGGCAATCTTCACCCTCCTTTATTCTGGCAGAAAGGCCTACTAAGAACAGTTTTTTTTGAGGCCAGGCATGGTGGCGCACTCCTGTAATCCCAGAGCTCGGGAGGCTGAGGCAGGAGGATCGCTGTGAATTCAAGACCACCCTGGTCTACATAGTGAGTTCCAGGTCAGTCTCAACTACATAGTGAGACCCTGTCTCAAAAAAGAAAACAAAACAGTTTTTTTTAATTGGAAGGTAGGATAGAAAAAGCAGATGGATAAAGTACTGTGCCAAATGAAGAATAAAGCAGATGTAATGACTGTGTGAAGAGATCAGGCAGAAATGACTTAACTTATATCAAAAGGGAGAGAAGAGCTGATTATTTCATGCCTTAGTGTGACCCAGTATAATTGTGTGAAGGGTCTAAAGGAAGCAATTCCAAAGCCCTGACCTGCAATGGAACGAGAAAGGTGACCCAGGATAACTTGGAGGGGGAGAAGTATGAACTAAGAACTCCACAAGGAGAAGGAGGAGCTTGTTAGTCAACCAAAGGGCCAGTTACCAACCTTTTCTCCCAGTATTCATTCCCTGCTTATACAATCTAGTGAGTACTTACAGCCTATAAGCAGGTACACATACCTGTTTTCTTCCAGAACTCTACAGGGACATATCCTGTTCCTGGTCTGCTGAATTCCCGTTGAGAATCTGCAGCAGAGAGATAAAGACCACAGGTGAGAAAGCTGTCTTTATTTCTTTTTCTTTTTTTCTTGAGACAGGGCTCACTATGTAGAGACTGACCTGGAACTATGTAGCTCAGGCTGGTCTCAAACTCACAGCGATCATCCTGCCTCAGCCTCCCGAGTGCTGGGATTACAGGCATGCGCCACCACGCCCGGCTAGAAAGCTGTCTTTAACAGTTTTGGTTACATTGCCTCTTCATGGTAGCCCCTCCTACACTGTAGGGTGTATTTTTATTTCTATTTTTATTTTTTCTTGGCCAAAACTCATTCTGCAGAGTTTGCTTTTCCTTTACCATTCAGTTTTTTTCCTACCTTTAATAAATGTGAAATTTTGCCGTCAAAAAAATAAAAAGAATCAAAATTTTATTTTATTTTTTCCAGTATGGGGAATAAACCCAGAGCCTTAAGCATGCCAGGTAAGTGCTCTAGCAATGAGCTGTTTTCCAGATCATGAAATGAAATTTTGTTTCTCACTCAACACTTAAATCAGACATTTAGTGCTAAAAATGCTCTAAGAAGGGCTAACATCAGATCATGAAATAGTATGTTCTACTTACCTACTTACTTTGGGTTATGTGAGACAGGGTCTTTTTTTGGAGTACCAAGAATCGAACTCAAGGCCTTGCATTTGCAAGGGAGGTGCTGTGCCACTGAGCTACATCCCCAGCCTGATAGGGTCTTGCTATGTAGTTCAGGAGGCTCTGAACTCATGGAAATCCTCCTGCCTCAGTCTCCTGAGTGCCAGGATTACAGGTGTGCACCACTGAGCCTGGCAATATATATTGGTACCGGGTATGGAACTGAAGACCTTGCACTTGCGAGGCAGGAGGCAGAACTAGTGAGCTAAATCCCCAGCCCTCTGGCAATATTTCTTAATAGACAATGATTCTACTGCTAAGAAAGTATGAAAGCTAATTAAGATAATTAATGCTGCCATAGCCTGAGTTGTATTTTCTCTAAGCTTTTAAAAAATGTTACATAAAATACACTTAAAATTAACCTTTTCTGGGACAAGTTTTTTTCTTTTTTTTAGTTCATTGCTACTTTTTAGGTATAAAGTAGTTATATTCATCATTGGGATCTTGTACCTTTACATGACAGATCTTGGTTCTCATTTTTTCCCCACACCCCTGCCCTTCCTTCACCCCCTCCACCTTCCCCTACTTACAAAGACTTTATTTCCATTTTTTCCTTTTCTCATGTTTTTTCTTTTCCCTTATTTCCTTACCCCTACCTTTCCCACTTTCCCTACACCATTAGCCCTTTTCTTCCTATTTCACATTATCATTTATGCAATTTGGATCTTACTTACACTTTTAATTTTTCACACCAGAGAAACTATTCTGTATTTAGGTGTGTGCTATTTATTTCATTTAAGAGTATGGCCTCAATGTGCATCCAATATCCTATGAGTGACTCCAGTTTCTCATTCTTTATGGCTGAGCAGTATTCCATTTATAGAAAAATCATATCTTCTTTATGTAGTCTCCAGTTGATGGGCATCTGGGTTGTTTCCAAGTTTTAGCTATTACAAACTGTGTCGCTATAAATATGGGTGTGCATATATCGCTGTGGTATGATTCCTTTAATTCTTTTGGAATGATACCTAGCAGAGGGATAGCTGGGTCAAATGGGACCTCTAATTCTAGTTCTTTGAGGTATCTCCATATTGATTTCCACAGAGGTTACACCAGTCTGCAGTCCCACCAATGATGGAGAAGGGTTCTTTTCTCCCCACAACCTTGGCAACATTTGTTATTGGTTGATTTCTCGATAGCAGACATTCTTTCTGTGATGAGGTAGAATCTCAGTGTTGTTTTCATCTGCATCTCTCAAATGACCAGTGATGATGAACCTTTTTTCATAGATTTATTTGCTGCTTTTTACTTCTTTATCTGAGAAATGTCTGCTTATTTCAGATGCTCACTTTTGAATTGGGTTTATATTTGGGGGACCTGATTTTTTTTGAGTTCTTTATATATTCTAGATAGTAGTCTTTTGTCTGAGGAGCAGCTCGTAAATTTTTTTTTCCCACATTGTAGGTTGTCTCTTAGCTCTGTTGGTGGTTTCTTTTGCAGTGTAGAAGTTTTAATACAATGAGATCCCAATTGTTGATTCTTTGTGCTAGTTCCTGTGCTACTGAGGGTATGTTCATAAAGTCTTTTCCTATGCCAATGACTTCAACAGTTCTGCCTATCTTTCAGTGAGTTTAGTGTTTCTATTTTAATATTTAGATTTTTAATCCACTTGGATTTTACTTTAGTGGATGGTGAAAGATAGATAAGTGTCTGGTTGCAATCTTTGGCAGGTTGAAATCCAGTTTTTCCAATGCCATTTATTAAAAAGGCTATCTTTCTCCAGAGGATAGCTGGTTCCTCTGTCAAAGATGAGGTAGCTGAGTACATCTGGAGTTGTTTCTGTATCTTCCAATCTATTCCATGGATCCTCTGGTCTTTTTCTTTGCCAGTACCATGCTGTTTTTATCACAGTGGCTTTGTAATATAGTTTCAAGTTGGGGATTGTGACACCCTGTCATGTCTCTGTTCCTAGAATTGCTTTTGCTATTCTAGGTCTCTTCTGGTTCCAAACGAATTTTTGGATTAGAGACAACGTCATGCAATGCAGGTCCTACAATGTATTCCAGGCTGGCCTTGAACTATGTAGTCCAGGCTGGCCTTGAATTTGCAGAGATCCACCCACTTCAGCCTCCTGAGGGCTAAGATTACAGGCATGCACTACTACACTTGGCTGAAATCTGTCATTTTAAAGTATAAATAAAGTTCAGTGACATTTAGTACAACCCTATATTTCAACCAAAAGCACATCAAATTCCAGAACATTTTTATCACTTCAAACAGGAACCATAACCCAAACTGATCATTTTAAAGCTCTGATAACATTAAAACTTCTGTGACAGTGGGCCACCATCACTACCAACAAGGAGAAAGCGGAAGAACTTTCTGTTAACACAGATGAAGTCCTGCTCATGGGGCCATATGTCAAATACTTACTAGCCAAGAAAAAGCCACTACCTTTGGTCAACAGCACCCTTGGTCATATCCTTTGGACCTGCCCAGTCCTCGACATTTTATTTTTGATAGAAGTAAAAGGTGAGATACTCTTTTTGGATTTTTTTTTTTTTTCTTGGTACAGGGATCAAACTCAGGTCCTCGTGCTTGCCAAACAGGTGGTGGCACCACTGAGCTAAATCCCGGGCCCTAGATACTACTATAGATGTCTTGGAAGCCAGGGACACTTTCATTCTCTGGCCAAAAGCCACAGAGAAATAGGTTTTTGTTTTTTCTGTATCAGGGATCAAACTCAGGTGCTTGTGCTTGCAAGGCAGGCAGCGGCACCACTGAGCTAAATTCCTGGCTGGAGAAATAGTTTTTTATACTCTAACCCCAAAAAAGACAGATGTTAGGACTATCACCTGTTTCACTTCGAAAGCTAGAGCTTAGAAGGTTACTGTTTTGTTATTTTTGGTTCCAGGGATTAAACTCGGTCCTTGCACTTGTGGTTTGTGATGCAGGCAGCAGAACCTCTGAGCTAAATCCCTGGTACCCTAGGTGGTTATTGTAATTGAGGTGAAGGACACAAACTGCAAATAAATCGGTCACAAATAGGAAGATTCATAGTATTGTGGTTATACAGGAGAATGTACAGCTTTTAGAATAGGGTGAAGCATTTAAGGGTAAGTGTCACAATGATTTGGTGGAGACTATCCCACCTTTCCACCTATCTAGAAAGAGATAAAGCAAATGTGGCAAAACCTTAAAAACTCATCAAGCTGGGCGGTAGTGATGCACATCTGTAATCCCAGTACTGGGGAGGCTAAGACAGGAGGAATGCTGGGAGTTCAAGGCTGGCCTGGGCTATACAGTGAATGCAAGAACCTGAACTACAGAGAGAGACCCTATCTCTCTTAGTGGTTCTGCTGCCTGCCTTGCAAGCGCAATGATCCAAGTTCAATCACTAACAAACAAACAAACAAACAAAAAGTTATTTTAAAGGGTTGGGGATATAGCTCAGTGTAAAAGCCACGTTCAATTCCCAGTGCTGGAAAAAAAGACATCTTTTTTTTTTTTTTTTAACTTACAATACCGGAGACTGAACTGAGGCCCTCGTGCATTTTAGGAAAGCACTCTACCACTAAACTACTTTTAAAATATATTTTAAGAGAGGTCTTGCTTAGTTGTCCAGGCTGGCCTCAACCTTGAGATCCTCCTGCCTTAGACTCCCAAGCAGCTGTGATTACATGCCCACATCTGCCTATGAAAATTTATTTATTTAGCATTACTAGAGACTGTGCTCAGGGCTTTCACACTGAACTAAGGACTTTTTTTTTTTTTTTTTAAGAACTGGGTGTGGTACATAGCCTACAATCCCAGCACTCCAGAGTTCTAAATGTTTCCCTAAAAATAGCTGTTAAAAGCCTAACTGACTTTCCAGAATGACTCTGCTGTTTGAACTTAAATTTGCACTCTAAGATCTTCATTGGTCTATTCTGTCCCACAGAAATGAATGGAAGTGGAAGACAAAAAGTGCATTTGTTTGTAACTGGAAGCAGTTAGAGCTCTCAGTGTATAGCAAAGAACTTCCGAAAGAAAATCCCATCTGCATGTACTCACTCTCCTGTCTACCTATCTCCATTACAGATTTGTACAGGGCACCAGTCTCAGACTTCCAAGGAGGGCTGAGGCCAACCTAGGCTACATAGCAAGACCCTGAATCAAAAATAAATAAATAAAGTTTTATTTTGAAACAGGGTCTCGCTTAGTCACTAAACTAGCCAGGATGAACTTGAATTTGTGATCCTCCTGCCTCTGCCTTACAAAGTGCTAGAATTACAGGTGTGGGTCATGATATCCAGCTATGAAATCTTCAATGATGTGAGAACATGCCCACTACTACACAAATTACAGTTTTAAAGAAATCAATACAAAATTATAACACACTATTTTG